CGTGTTTTCTGAGTCTCGTTCTCTCGTGATAGTATTACATGTATTGTGAACATCTATATTTTAGCTTTCTGTTCCAGATTCGCAGATTTTGAATTTTGCCCTCCCTAAGGAAAGATGACGTGGGTGGTTGGCGGGTGGGTGCTCTGGTGTGGTTTGCTCCTTCTTTCCTATCAAACATCTATCGTCCTTATCTCACCTTCTTCTTTTTTATGTTTGTTACTCTCTTGTAACACCTCTAATTCTCTGGCGCTCATATGACCTTATGCAGTTGCGAGTGCCGTAAAACCTTTGCTAAAACTAAACTAAACTAGGAAAGATGACGGGGAGTAAATTGGGATAATTTTCGTGGTTTTGGGACATAAAAGGAAGAGTGAAACAGGAAAAGGGTCAAGGTCACAAAGGGAGCGAAGCAGTTACCGTGCACCTAGCTCAAGCGCCCGCCCACAAAACAAAATGCCCGGTTACCGTGTACGTAGACACTGAGGCTACGCGCCCGGTTGCTGGTTACCGTGTACGTAGATATTGAGGCTACGCGCCCGGTTACCGTGCGTGTGACATTGAGACTACACACCCGGTTACCGTGTACGTAGACCCCGAGGCTACGTACGCGCCCGGTTGCCGGTTACCGTGTACGTAGACACTGAGGCTAGCTTACGTGCCCGGTTACCGTGTACATAGACCAGGAGGCTACGTAAACGGATACCGTGTACGTAGACCCCGAGGCTACGTACACGGTACGTAGACACAGCGTTTTACTTTTCAAAGCTGAAGATGCCTCTGGATGGCTGTATAGAAGCCTTAATTTTTCAAAATTTTTCGGGATGTGGTGGGGGGGGAGGCATGCCCGCGGACCCCTGTAGTTAGGCCTCGTGCCTAAAGCACTCGGATGCCGCACAGTTGGCGCGCTGGCTATGCCACTGTAAGAGGCGATTATGCAACCCAATTTTGCTTGCATGCAGATGAAATTTAAAAATAAAAAATGTAATCGTTTTTGGTGAAAATTATAAAAATGTGTTTGCACCTAGTCAAATGATATATATATATATATGTATATCTAAACAACCATAAAGGAATATAGAACTGGAAAATATTTAAAAATTTGCAATTATATACCTATTCCACATAATTTGTACATTTGGATCATAACATCAGATGTTGAAGATTTTTTCTATCTTGAAACAAAATCTATAAAAAAGGACAAGGTGCATTTACCACACAACTTAACACACGTATCTTATATAGAATTATTCAGAATTGCATTACGAATAAAACCATACATGTCTTGAGAGGAGAGGTATTCTTTTGTAATTTTATTTTAATAAGTATAAGTGATTGTGCTGGGTTGGACGAAATTGTCAGAGGACAAAGAGAAATGGCGAGAGCTGGTTTTCAGATGCAGTGTTGCCCCATGGTTGCCCCAACCACGGGATAGAAGAAGAAGAAGAAGAAAAAGATTTTTGGGGAAAAAAAATTTGGACGAGTTAGATCTAGTATAGAAAAATATTGATCTCTCAATAACAAAGCAATGGCAATTTGAGTATTTCCATTTTACAATATAATAGCAATATTCTAAAGAAGAGTCCTACATTTATTTAATTAATAAAATAATGATACATTTTGTTTTGTAAAAGTACTAAGACTGGTACCTGGGCTATAATTTGGGTATTGAGATAAAACAAATTCGCATAAACTTCGAAATCGTTTTTCAAAACTGAATCAAAACTTAACATTTTTGGTGGAAACGCTATTAGAACCTTTACATTAATATGGATATGTGGATTGGAGTATAATCTAAGCCAAAATTATAGATCGGTTCTCGAGGTGTCGGGGTCAGCTTGCCGAAAGGAAGTCACTTTAGCCTCGCCACCGCCCACGGCTTGGCGTAGCGAATGAGTTAAAGATGGTGTATGCATTCTGTATGGAGGAGAACATGGCCATTTGGATATCAAATGCTAAAGAACTTTGGGACTGGGTGTTGTTTTAGTCGATGATTAGTAATTTTTAAAAAGTGTATGTTGTATGGCTCTTCAGTTATGTGCAAAGTTGATTTGACAACATTTTAGCTTTCTACTGTCCTCCTTTTAGAAATATAGGTTTTAGTGTGTAGTCAGTAGATTTGGAAATAAACATACAGCTGCATAGATAAGTCAAACACGCAAAACTCCGATTCACGAAATGCTTCAACAACAAGCCATTTCTGACCGAACCGCTGTATTATCTTTGTATTGGCAACACTGTGTTGTTAATACCCACACAGATGTGTCGAGCAGCTAATCTTGAAAAGCTCAATCAAATTTTTGTTTACAATTGTCTTGAATTCAAATTACCCCACACACATCATGGAAAGCAAGTACACCCATCATGACCGAGAGATCAGGATACACACATTGCTGCTATCAAGACGATCATCACACATTTTATGTTGTGTGCACGAGGTGCCAGAGTCTCTTTGAATCTAGTCATCCCATGGTGTGTGCTGGGTAGAGGGTGTGATTGAAGACGAGACAGTGTGGCGCTGCACTGGGCCATATGGTGTGTGAATTATGTTTGTAGGCGTGTGTGTGTGTTACATGTGTGTGTGGTTGTTTGAATGTGACAATGTGGATATGGAAGTGATTACACATGAGTGGTGGGTGGCATGCCCCAACCAGTATGTTATATTATTCACAGGCTTTTGACTTTCTGTGCTTGCCTGAGCTTATGTGTAATGGTAGGTCAGATATTCATGAATTTTATGGTTCGATTGCATATTTGGTTACACCACGATGCTGATTTCTTGTGTCTTCCTCAGGTCGCTGCTTGTCAGAAAATTTCTATGTGCGTGGTGATGGAACCCGAGTCTACTTTTTCACACAAGGTATATCATCTATTTGTGTGGGTAAACCAAAGTTGATTTTTGCTCTATAATTTTGCCATCCTGGTTTTTTAAAAAATGGCCACGGTTCTTGTAGATAACAGCGCATAAAGATATTTTTTTTAGTCTCAAGAAGCCTCAATTTCAAGTCTTCTCTCTCAATAAAAGAGATAGAGGAGCCTCCATGTGCATTTGCTTTGTTGATATTGGTACAGTAGAACATGGTTATAGCAGGACTTTTGGTTCCAGAAGAAAAATCCCGCAGTAGGCAAGTTTCCGCTCTAGGAATGCAAAGTGAAAATTACTGAAAAATTTCTAAAAATCCACATGATTACATCCCTTCCATATCAATAAAATTTGCTCTTCAGATTAGTCTTCCTTTTCTTGTCAACTTCATTGATTATCTTGGCCTTTAATTCGAGTGAGAAGCATTTCATTTAGTTTTTGTTGGAAGCCATCTTTTCCTCGGTTTGTTGTTTGTGCTGTCTATCGTACCAGTAGGCCTACAGTAGAACTGATGAAGTGGATGCGTACGTATGCCTGAGCATCAATGATCGCAATTCAATGAATGAGGAATCACACACTACACGCTCTCCTCTTCTTTTACTTTTTGGCCTAGCCTAGGGCTATGACCTATACGCTCTTATATGATACTCAGTGTCTAAGCTATGGCACATCACTTTAAATTTTGGAGTGGCTCACGTAACAGGCCTCTCCGCACCATGTCTCTCTACTGCCTGCCCCACCTCACTCTTCAGTGGATTAGCCAATCACAATGCCGCACCGCTGACTGCCTGTTTGGATCCCGCCTACAGCCCCCACCCCTCAATCCCCTTCCCCACAGCTAGAGCTCGTTCGATCTCTCCCTCTGTATCCAAGTACGGGCCTGTCCTTGCCCCGTTAAACCCGAGCACAGGTAATTGAGTTTGCATAGAAAAAAAGGGGATTCCGGTAAGATCCCGCTGTAGGGATGGTCCAGCTGCAGCTTGTGCCACCATAGTCATGTTCTACTGTTTAGATATATCACTTTTGGAGTGGTTCACGTAACGTGACTCTCCGCACCACCTCTCTCTACGCACCGTCTCTCTCTGGGCCTACCGCCTGCCCCACCTCACTCATCACTGGACTAGCCAAACACAAAGCCAAGCCGCTCCGCTGATTGTTTGTTTGGAGCCCGCCTACAGCCCCCCCATCCCCCAGCTAGAGCTCGCTCAATCTCTCCCTCTGTATCCGAGTTCAGGACTTTCCTTGCCCCGCTATATCTAAGCACAGGTAATTGAGTTTACATAGGAAAAGAAAAGGGGATTCCAGTAAGGTCCCACTGTGCGGGTTCCGTTACAGTCATGTTCTACTGTATCATGCAAGATTGTTATGCAGGTGATCCTTGTTCCACAGCCTAAAAGAGGCATTCTTGGTGATTTGATTGGATGTTGGAAGAGTTTTCATGGCTCTTCAGCTACAGTGGAGTCAGCTTACACTGAACACGGTTTATTAAAAAAGAACAGTAAACTAAATTAAAATAAAATCCCCTATTTTTAATTCTATTTGAGCAACTTCTCTAAACCCAAAATTTGGCTAAATGGAAGAAAATCCAGGGGTTCCGTAAATTTTGGTTTTAGCAGACTCCACTGTATTTGCCAGAGTCCTGCCAAGTTTTCTTATAAATGGGGGCTGTTTGCATTCACGACTTGACTTATGGTTTCTTGAGTGAGTTTAGTGGTCTACGGCAACAGCTGAACTAATCTGTGCAGTGCAGGCTGAGGCTGATGACTGTGACTTTGAGGGAAACGCCTTGTCAAACCCTGTTTATTTGTTTGAGTTCTAAGGAGGCTTTTCAATACAGTAATGTCCATTAAGTGCAGGGAAAAAGTAAGACATACAGACAGAAGCTAGGAAGGATGGTAAAGAAGCACATGTAGGACCCACCAGTGGTGCCCTCCATCGACCTGCTCTGGTTAATCTTCAATAAGTTCTGGCTCCTTCCTCCCAAAACCAACAGTGTTGAGCCCTCTTCTTCAATACAATGAACCATTTGTTTTTTCTGAATGATCAACTTGACTGTGTTGTGACTGTTTGCGAGTGGACCAATTTGACAGTGATATTGTTTATTTATCGCTGCTGTTTGAGCTTTTTGCTTTGGTGTAAGTGTAAGCTGAAAAAAGGCTCTAGGAAATGCTGTTTCACCAGTTATGGTCTTACCTCACTGTCTGATGACTTCTGGTGAATATATATGTAATGCTGGCATATTGACATTCAGTGTCACAATTATCCATTTATATATATATATATAATAATACAAGGCTTTTTTCAAGACACTATAATTGATTTATTTTGAATATCAGTTAAATGGACACACATTTTCAAAAATGACGTTTTCTTATGCCTTTGTTCTCCAGGTGAATTGCGAAACATGTTTCTGAAGGCTGGCTTACTGGAAAAGGAAAATCTAGTTGACAGACGATTGCAGGTGAACAGAGGTCGACAACTGAAAATGTATCGTGTATGGATACAATGCAAATATATAAAACCAGTGAACCCTGTGTCATAGTCTGCTTTATGTTTCTTTGCTTGATGATTCAAATTTTTATTGCGATGCAAATAAAAAAAGCGTCCGTTCTTTATTTCATATTTGTTTTTACATTTTTAAAATTTATGATTTGAAAGAAATCAATAAGATGTCTTGTTAGTTTATCACAAAAGGAGGAATAGGAATGAATGCACCTTGTCAATTTTGTGGGAAAGGAAGAAAGGGAAATAAGTGTCACTTGTCAATATCATTCATCATTGTTTTCAATGTTGGCAGCAGCAGTACAAATTTGTAGGAGTCTTTACCAAGAGTCTTAGTCTTGACATCCTCTCACACCACCTCAAAGAGCATCAGCCTTCATAATTTCATGATTGTTGTCTTTATGAAATTTGGATAGTCTGTCTGGCTTCCCTCTACCTTTCACTTTCTCTTCTACTTCTACTACTTCTAGAACTTTTTTTCTGTCTGTGTGTTCTTTTTTTCCATAAAGAGTGAAACATTTTTCACATTTTCTCTTTATTGCCTCTTGAAGCAGCATAGTTTAGGTTAGGTGTGCAATTTTTTTTCAGAATATCTTCTATCTGTTTTGACTGTCAAACCACACCTCAGCAGTTTGAATTTTCTCTTCATTTGATTTACTCAATGTTCATATTTCAAAATCATACATGACTACTGACCAGATTAGTGCCCTGAGTATCTGGACTTTGAGTGGTGTTGGTACCCTTCTTTGCCAGTAGATGTGGTATGTTCAACTGCACTTTTCCTTTGTTTTGCCATCATATTTTTAAAAATGTCCATCCTCTTGATGTAATCATCCTATGAGATTAAATGCTATCGTGGTACGGTACTTGAAATCATGGAAGTTTTCCAAAAGAGTGCACACTGGCAAATGCGTCATCATCGAATTGGTTTGACATATTTAAAAAAGTATGGTGGGGAAAAAAACAACCCATTAGTATTGCTGTCTACCAGAACTTTAAAAAAAATCTTTAATACATTTGTACTTTTTTTTGAAGGGTCTGAGTGTGGACGTCTGTTTTCAAGTTGGAAAATATTTATTCTCTGGTTTCTATTTTTTGTCCTCTCAAGACTTGCCAAAGCTACAGAAAAATTTTGACTTAAAACTTATAAAAAGAACTTTGAAGACTGGATTTGCGACTGATTATAAGAATGAACCCCGTAGTCAATTGGAGAGATTTTTTGCTGCAGGTCTACTCTGAAAAACTTGAAATTATTGAATGCAGAAAAGTGTATGTCAATTGTTTGGAGGAGGGGGGGGGGGAATGTTCTTTACCAGTGCCCACCATACTGACCTTCCATGTGGGTAGAGTCTGTTTTTTTGCTTAGAAAAGTTTGCAACTGTACATTAGTCTGAGCTGGCTGGCACAATGGGTTGTAGGGATAACAATAACACTGCCTGGACACAGGCTACCATATTCAGGAGTGGGGGCACTGAACAGATTTGTCTCTCGGAATGTAACAGATGTTACATTCCGAGAGACAAATCTGTTTTCAATACATGTGTAGTACAGTATAGTGGGAAGCTGGTGGAGAAACTTGATAAATGCCGAAACAACTCAAGATCTAGAACTTTCTGTTGTGGAGTTAAATAAGGTTGATCTGTACCATAGCTCAGCATAATACCAAATGATCTATGGGTGCGCTCTTAATTTAAAGAACTTAATGTGTAAATTATATATAATGTGCATAAACATGTAGTAAGTATACATTTGTCTTGTTTGAAAGGTTAGCCTACTGACAAAGAGGATTACTCTTGATTACATCACTTTTCTCCATTTTCTTTTTTTGTAGGGGTGGTCAAGTTTCAGTAATTCAATTCAGTTGAGAGGTACTCGACTCTTTTGACTGTATGCTTAGTCACTGTGCAGGACTTGGGAGAGCGGTGAAATGGTGGGAGTTGGAATCAGTTGCATGATGCTTTGTGGAGTTTATAATACAGCCCTTTGCAACTCATGAGCTCTTCGTGGTTGCCTTTCTCTACAACAACCCCCTTGTCAATAACAAAGATAATATCAGCATCCTGGATGGTGGACAGGCGATGGGCAATAGTGATGCATGTGCGTCCCTCACGTGCGTTGATCAGCGCCTCTTGCACTATCTGTTGATGAATTTAAACATAGACTTGTTACGGTTTGGCCATGTTTAATGGGGTTCTTTATACAGATGTGAAAATTCACATAAGCATAATAAAAGTTGGAATAGTGTGAAAATCAATAACCAATAGAATCTAATTCATAATTAATCAACAGTAAGGCAAGATTTAGGGACAGTGATCTCATGCATGTGTGGGTTTGTGTGAGTATGTAATTGTGAAAGAGGAAACTTTTAATTAGAGCAAAAGCCGAGTGATGAAGACAGTTATTTTGTTTCTTTTTCTCACCTTCTCACTTTCAGTGTCTAAGGCAGATGTTGCCTCATCCAACAGCAAAATCTTGGGGTTCCTCACCAACGCACGGGCTATTGCAATCCGTTGTTTTTGACCTCCGCTCAGTTGTGTTCCCTTCTCCCCTACTTTTGTCTCATAGCCCTGGAAGAGCAGAAAGTGCATAAATAGGTTGCTTAGCAAAACTAATTTCCAAAGTGCTGTTTAACGTTGACAGTCTGTTAGATGTAGAGTAGGCAATAAAATGTTTGAAAGATGGCTACTTATTTACCCAGCAGTTAGGTATGAAGCCAAGGGAAAGTGTTCTAATAATACATGCACTCTATTTCAAGGCACAACGAGGAAAATCATTTTGACCCCGATTTGGATGACATGGGATAGCCCAGTAGTATTATATTATGTTTAGTTTAAACTGACAGTTGACCGCCCCCTTTGTGATAAAAAAATAATACACGATGAAAACTCCCTTGATTTAATTAAATTAAAGTACATTTAAGGGTTATTCATTGTCTCTCTCTCTCTCTCTCTCTCTCTCTCTCTCTCTCTCTCTCTCTCTCTCTCTCTCTCTCTCTCTTTCTCCTGTCTGAGATGAATACATGTACTGGGAATTCACTGGAGAGATAAAATCCCAAACACTTAAGTTGTTTAGAGAGCGAAAAGCTGATCTTCTGCCTTTACTACCATTCTGAAGAAAACCCAGCTTAGATAGTTGAGACACTTGGTCCGAATGCCAAGCGCAGTTCCCTGAAACTTGTTTTCTACTCAGAATTGGTACATTTTTTACATTCGTGCACCCCCCCCCCCTCCTAAAAAACAACAACCCAAAACACTCTTAAGTCTTCTCTAAAAGAATGCTCCACATTGATGAGGGTGAGTAGGAACCCAGAAATCCTGTCTTGATGATTGATCGGTCACAGTAAGCAAGACACCTGACAGCGAAGGTTTTGCGTAAAAAAACAAAAACAAAAACGACGAGTTTGTAAAGCAGAGGCAGTCAAATCCTGGCAATGACACTGACCGAACAGACCACAAGTGCTTTGTTTGTGGAAAATGCTTCTCAAAAAGAATAGTGCTTGAGGTTGAAGGTCACAACGGAAGCCATTTGATAAGCAGGTTGATATGAACCAACTACCGTAGCCCATTCTTTAGATAGATAAACATACGACTTCAGGAAAGTGAATGGCGCTTCTATCCGCGGTGAGTAGTGGTGTTTGTGATTATTACAAGTTGTTTGCTATACATGTAGCCTACTATTATTTCTTTTACTTTACTCTCTTTCACCGGCGTTTGTAATGTAACGGTTAGGTACTGCGATGTCACACGTAGTACGTAGGGGACCCGAGAGCGATTTCCGGTTGGGGGTACATTTTTTATCGAGTTTCTCAGTTTTTCTGGATCCATCTCAGCTCAGGTTGGCCCATACAGATAGGGTCGGAAGCCGGCCTCCTAAATGATCTAAATTTGGTCGATGGAGGAGTAAAAGCACCTACTATAAAAAAAAAGAAAACACTCAATAACTTTTCTTCGTCCTTGGGTGTTAAAGGTCATAATTAAATCACTTCATGACGGACCAATTATTATTATTACATGTATTATTATTATTATTTTATTATTATTATTATTATTTTCATCATTATTATTATTATTGTTGTTCGATGTAGGCCTACTGCAATGTCTTTGTATGACATTCTTTATCGCCTCTTGTAGCAGGATATGACTGGTCTGAAAATGGATTTGGCTGAGGTACGAATAAACACAGATTGCTGGAAGAAAGGACATACACTCTAATATATAATGAAGCTATCCAAAATACGTGGTGATTTGGGGGGGGGGGGGGGGTCCTTGTGTAAGTTTAGGAATCCAAAAAACAAAGCACACCAGTCCAACTTGACGGCCAGGTAGCCGGTATTATATAGATCTACTCCTTCACATTTGCGTGCCTGTAGAGTTGGACTGGTGTGTTTTATTTCTTTAATTTGGACTGGTGTGTTTTATTTCTTAAATTTCTAGCTGAGCATATTGAAGTCATTGTCGTCTTACTTGTGTCTCATAATTTACACAAAAAATGTAAACATTTATAAGTTATTCAACAATCCCTCTTCAGGTTTTGTTATCTGACACTTCTCAGGATAGAAATAAAAAATAGAAAAGTCAGAGAAATTCCATGCAGCCATATCTGTATTACGCCGCCTTTATAACTGCTCCATTGAAAAGACGGTGTTTGTGGTGTAGCTGTCAGGCGTTTTGCTGTCGCACGCACAGAGTTCAATTCACGAGTGGGGAGACATTTTTATCGAGTATCTCGGTCTTTCCGCCGGGATGTTGTATCCTTCTCAGTCTCAGTCAGAGTTGGCCTTGGCGGACAGGGAAGGAAGCTCGCCTCCTAAAAATATTTCGCACAACTCCCTGGGGGGGGGGGGGGGGGGGGGGTGAAAACGCCTTAATATAAAAGACTCACCTGAGGTAGAGCTGTTATGAATTCGTGGATATTGGCCATTCGGGCTACTTTGATAATCTCGTCTGAGGTAACTGTCCGTGTGTTGTCTCCGTAAGCAATATTCTCTGCGATGCTACAGTCAAACAGCACGGGCTCTTGGCTCACCAGTCCCATTTGGCTCCGTAGCCAATGTTTGTTCACATCTTGTATGCTATGCCGATCTAAAACCTGAATTAACAAGGCGTTTGTTATAAATTGTGTAGAGGTATCATGTGGTGAAATTGAAAGGATTGACTCGCATACCGAAACGTATTACATTACTATTGGAAAACAAATCAATAATTTCAAATAATTTCAACATCAATTGACATACAGATCATAAGCCGAGCCTCTTAAATTAGGCATCTCTCTCAAAATGACGTCATGAAAAACTGGTTTCCCATACTATACTCAATCTCAAGGGGTAGTCAATTGCTGATTTTTCAACATGCAGAGCAGCTGATTTTTACGAGTGGTCGTTTTTTTCCACTTTGTAGGGTCTCTTGCCGTCATGCAGCAACTGTCCGATTTGGAAGTATAAAGTATTTTTACTCTCGATAGAAATTTTATCTTGGTTGTCCAAAAATCGATAGGAGTAGTCTTTAGCTGTCACCCGGACACAGTTCAAATTTAATTAATTCCTACCAAACCGAAAATGCTTAATGTATCCTGCAAGCTCATACTATGACCTCATGTAGTTGCGAGCGCCGTAAAACATTTACCAAAAATAATTTTAAAAGAAAATTCCATTTTGCTCGAATGGCAGCCCAAGCCTAGATTTACTCTTTCCTAATTCAGAACCCCCAAGGGATCTTAACTGTAAGGTGCTCAACTACACGGAACCTCCGAGATTTTTAGCTCTTATTCGAGAAGGCTAGGTGTTCGATATTACCCACCCTAAAATCTGGGGTGTGGCTGAAAGACAACAGTGGTAGGAGACAAAGAAAACTCGTGGGACGAGTGGACAGAGGAATACACTGTATCTTTAGAAGAACGCTTCTCAAGCAGGTGTTTCGACCGTAACTACTTGACATTCTAAAGAGGCCAGATCACACTAAGGTCATCGGTCATGACTCCTCAAGCACAATCTCCTGCTGTTTTTCCCCTCTGGACGCTTAACGAGGATCGAACCACAGCGGTGTTGTAACATCTCCGGTTCTTCAGTCCGTAAATGTGTGTGCAATGCCATTAAGCTTCCTCCAGTGGAAATAACTTAAAGTGAAGCTATATATATATATATATATATATATATATATAAATCTACAAGACATTTTGGGAATTTCCTTGCCTATTTCCTGTTCTACTTCTAACGTCCCAGCTTTCATTACGTTTCGTCCTCAACTAGCTCGAACTTTTCTCTGCCATTAAAAAAAATGCGCTTAATGGCTGCCTTTCTTTTTTTGGGCCTTTGAGGCCTAGCTGCCCCTGCGGTGCGAATGTTGAGGGTGCAACAAACCCCAGTGCATACACTTATACTGGCATGACCTTGGAGCTATAACCCCTCCTTGAAGTTGATTCGAGAGATTTTCATAGTTTGCCGATTTGACTGATGCTGTGCATCTATCCTGCTTTCGTATGGCTCGATTAGGAAGATATTGGCATCAGTTTTTGACCAAGGAACGATATTAGGTCTGAGACTTGTTCTCTTGATCATAGGAGGGTATTTCAGCCTCTCTGGGAGATCTGCAGCTAGTACCCAATCCTTAGCGGAACCTAGAAGGTTTCCGCCCCTTGAGAAGCAAGGCACTTGCTTTCTTCCAACCCATTTTTTCTTCTTCCCTGTTATGAAGAATATCTGGACTACACGGAACCTCCGAGATTTTTGGCTCTTATTCGAGAAGGCTAGGTGTTGGTCGCCAGGCTACAGAAGATTGCGAGGATCAGCTCTTTCAGCACTCTGTAGTGCCGCCACGCATATCTGCTATCACGAAGGGATACCTTAAGAAGCTGCGGACATGTTCTATTGTCTGTCCCTCCTGGCACAATAGGCGGGGGGGGGGGGGGGGTTCTTCTTCCCTGCCCCACTTCATGAGATTAGCTTTCAACGGCTGCAAGTCATATTTCGCTTTGATGTTGAAGCCAAGTCTCTAAGGTACTATATGCTGCATATTGTTCCAGGTAAGGGATTTCTGCAAGACATCGGTCCAGTTTGTCCACTGGCCTTGATGCGACTGCTGGACCGCTTTCTGGTATCTCTTGTTGTCTTCTGAATCTTTCACTTTTTGGATCATCATGTCTCGGCGTTCTTCACCATGTGCCTTGGACCATCACAGCATCTTCTCGCTTCCAAGTCCTTGTCTTCCAACCTAAGTATGGCCAATGACGTATTTGAGCCTGAGGTTATCTTTTGCACCCATCACGGTTTCCAAGACTTTCCACTTTCTGTCAGTTCTGTGTTGGTTGACCTGACCACCTCGCCATGTGAATTCTCAAACATCACCTGAGGCCTTATCTTGCCAGCTTTGTTTTCCTCGACGGCAGTAGCAGTAGTAAAAACGGACGCAATGCAATTCGCTCCCCATGACGTCACAGCCCAACATGCCGAAAGGTTGATCCTTAACTCGCCCCTCCCCCCCCCCCCCCACTTTTGCAATCGAATATTTTCTAAAATGACTGACGGACCGAAGTAGGGTATCGAAACTGGTAAATGATCATTCACATCTCTGAGCATTGAATGTGTGTGTGTGTGTGTGTGTGTGTGTGTGTGTGTGTGTGTGTGTGTGTGTGTGTGTGTGTGTACCTAATTTGAAGTATAGTGTTATAGTTATCCCTGCTCGCCTCAGTTGAGATAAAAGCAGATGACAGAAGGGCATGACAAGAGAACAGGAAAGGAGGTGAAAGACGAAAACTTTAGAGAAGAAATTTTGTATCGTCGCTGTCTGGTTTCGAGCCCAGGGTCTATTTAACGAAAGGTGAACACATCGGAACATCGAAGTTCTAAAGCCCCCTGCCACAGCCCATTCTCTACAATTTTCACCTTGACCAAACTTTGCATCTCTCAACCCATTTGGCTCGGTCCTAACGGAGACAGACGTTAAATTCTGAGGCCCCGCCTCTTAAGTAATCTAACAGTGTTGATATGGGTATTAAATCCATACGCTTTTACACTTCTCTCACTCCCCAACTCTCTATATGTCTCTAGTCAATGCCACTTTGGTATTAGAAATTTGCAATCGTCTTTGAAAAGATCTACAAGCGCTGATGCTAATTTATTCCCCTATATTATATTATACGAATTGTTTATGCTATGCGCGTGTCTTGAAAACAAGGATTACGCAAGAAGAAATTTGGGGCCTGAAGATGTTTGCTATGTGCGTTTTTTTCTATATGTGCGTGCTAGACGGTATTCTGGTATTTCCCCGCTATCCATCTGCTCAAATTCTCTAAGTGAATTGCTCTTGGTCTACCCTTGCCTCTTTTGCCTTCTTTTCTTTCAGTGAGAGCAAGATATTCCAGATTTTTATATACATATGCAAAAATAAATTCTCTTCTGTCCAGGATCTCTTAAGCCCGGATACATCCCCGTCGAAGCAAACCTCGCAAAGTTGCTGAACAAAAGTATACAGTACATATTTAGTTTGTGTAGGATTTTAACAAGAACAGATTGTCCACATAAGTAGGGTACCGTACTACATTCAAAATAGCAGGTGCTTTTCTTATTAAAAGATTTCGGCTCGTAGCGTACACCATAACTTTCATCTGACGGAAATCCAGTGTACACTGCAATATGGCCAGGCACACATCGAGGGCATCCACAGAAAAGCATGACCACAGCAATTGGAGATTTGGATTTCTTAAAAAGAGGGGAGTAGAGGAGGGGGGGGGGGCACCACCAGATTTCAACAATGTCAATTTGAACGAAGAAGTCAAATTAAGCTGGGTCAAATTACTCAATATAAAAATATGTGCCCATGCGAAAAACATAATACATGTAGGCCTACTACCAACCGAGAGAGTGTCTTTAAGCAGTATTTCAAACAATTTAACAACCAATTTATCACCGCTTACCCTTGAAGTAATTTATTTTCAGTCTGCCGTAATGTAACCAACGTAATCAGCACAGTGTTTCATTCATTCAGTTTTCTCTCTTTTTTTCTTTTTTTTGGGGGGGTGAAGCTTCTAAACTTAGCCCTTCCATTAGAACCAAATGGTCAAGTTACTTACTATAGAGCCGCCCTTTGGGTTGTAGAAACGCTCGAGCAAGCTGATTACGGTGCTCTTTCCACAGCCGCTACTGCCCACCAGAGCAACCGTCTGGCCTGCCTCAACAGTAAGCGACAAGCTTTTGAACACTTCCACCTCGGACCGCAGAGCATACGAGAAGCTGACATTTGTGAAGTTGATACTGCCTCGAAGCGTTTCCTGTGCGCAGTAGTTCAGAAAGCTTTAATGTGTATACACGTATAAATAATGTCATGCGTACTTTGTTTATGTAGTGTGTGTGTGTGTGTGTGTGTGTGTGTGTGTGTGTGTGTGTGTGTGTGTGTGTGTG